TATATATATATACAAGCAGTCCTTTTGGGTATGCATTTATTTTATATCTTTGCCTATTATTTAATTGTAACTTAATTCAGGTACACACACACACACACACACACACACACACACACACACACACACACACACACACACACACACACACACACACACACACACACACAGCACATGACTCATTGTTGGCTAACCAAGAATAATTTCCCGGTTAAACCATGAGTGCTATTGGATATTGATTTCATAATGTCAAGAAGTAAAACATGTTTTCCAGATACAGTCACCACTTTGTTTGTCATTCTGTTTTCAGATAGTGTTTTGGTATGCTACATTATTTGTGTCAGATGAAAGCACAACAATGCAACATACATTAGAATTCCTTATCCGGTTTATTTTCTTTCTTTCTTTTTAGTACATGTTAAGACATTGACAGCTTTATCAGAATCTGGTTCATAGTATCAGGGGAGGGAGATGCCTTTTCAAGATTTAGATTTTCACTTTTATTTGAACTCAGCGCCCTCTGCTGCCAGCCAGACAGAGAGAGGAGAAATATAAGAGATTGGAAATGGGGATTACCATACAAAACTCTAACAATTGAAATAATCAGCAGAAGCACATAGCCTATACAATTGTATATAGGTACACAGTTAAAATATGTTTCCAAGAGAACAAACAATACACATGACTCACACCTTAAAACATGAATAAATAAAAACACAAAGTATGACATATTAGACATTCTCTTTTCAATGTGTCATGTTCACTGTATTTAAAGTAACCATTCATTCAAGTTTGAAGACTATTGTTAAACATTTTTGTCAAAACCAAAATTAGGGGAATATTTTATATCAAACAAAAATTTGAGCCTTAATCATTTGCTTCATCTTACTTATAAGATCTTAAGTGAAAGATCTTCATTGTGGGCAGATTTAAAATATGTAGGAAAATAGATGGTGTAAGTATGTGATTTCTTCAAAACTATAAGTTATTGTGATTGTAACTTTCCTTTGATTCAAAAGCTTGGAAGAGTAGGCACAATAGATTATTTAATGTGTGATTCCCCCAGTACTGTAGTAATATTCCTCTATGATATGTGTATTTTGTTGTGGATAATGACAACTGAATAACAGATAATGTTTTGATTTTTTTTATTGAGATGAACTGGTGATGCTTGTAAACCACAGTTTTTACCACTATCTGTCAGGGAATTCCCCTCTCTCTTCCTGAATCGTGCACAACAAAACAGAGATGATTTGCAGGAAGTAATTGCCTTTTTCTGCCACCAGAGGCCGCTCGTGACACATATGTATGGACTACTGTCTCCACACAGACTTCCTCGGTGCTAGACGTCGCTGTTAAGGAGACTATTTTCTCCAGACGAAACGTATATGGAAGTTCTTCTGACAATACTGGATGAAACTATTTCTGATCAAACAAGTTCTGCTACTCGGCTCGGCAGAAACTGAACTAAAACTAGACGATGCTGTCCAGTCCGATGTGGTGCTGAAATTATGCACAAGTGCATCTAGTTCAGACTTTGTGTTCCCCATGTGCGTAAAATAGTTTGCATAATGGATGTTACAGTTGTATAGATGTAGACTTGATGAAGACTTTCCACCTGTCTACAACAACAGCGGGAGTTTAAAGATTTAAGTGTTATATGCTCTTTCAACGCCTACATGTCATAAACATGCGTCCTTACGAGCTTTATAATTGCCAATTATTGTGCTCAGAGACACGCTTGCAGTGTATTTAGCTCTGCAAAGCTGTAGCCTGGATACAGGAGAGAGCGTCCTTGGTATTTGTGATTGTAAAGAACTGGAGGAGAAAGATGGCCGAGGGGGGAAGACGGATAATTTGAAGACTTGCCAGGGGTACATTGTCAAATTCAAAAGGCATTTCAAAGAACCAAACCATTCACTTTTTTTTTATATTCTCTCTTCTTTTTTCCTTCTTTCTCCGTCTTTTTTTTGCCTTGCCTTTCTTTCTTTTCGCACGGTTGCAGGCCGTTTGAATCGACCAATGGGCCTTCAAGTTAGAGACATTGGAATGTAAATGAGCCCAGCGCGTGCTCCCTGGGCAGTGAAAGCTCGGGATTGTTTATTGAGCTCCCGGAGCCACGCGCCTGGCCCGGGGGAGTCGGCGTGTAGAAGAATCACACAGCGGGGGCGGGGCCTCGCGACGAAGCGTGCGTCTCCGAAAAGGGGTGGGTGGGGTGTGTGTTGGGGGCGCGTGTTGAAAAAGAGGAGTGCTGCCAAAGTTTGGGTCAGATCGGCTCGTGGAGTAAGCAGTCAAGAGAGACTTGGACTAGAGTTAGCCACACGGTCCCCACGCGAAGGACACGAGAGCTGTACACTGCCAACCCTTCCCACTCTTTGGTCCCACTGTTAGAGGCTGCGCTCGCCCTCTGCATCCATCACTTGTGACAACTGTCAGCGAGATGGAAACTACAACCATCACCACCACGCAGACTGCATTCTCCTTTGGACTTACCGAAAGGCACCAAAGCCTGAGCCTGCACGCGCCGGCCCAGGATTGCGCTGACCCAAGCAACGCTGCTGACTTCCAGAGTAAAACCAAGGTGCTGAAGAGACAGCGCTCCGAGTCGCCGGAGCTCCTGCGCTGCAAGCGGCGTCTGAGCTTCAACGGGCTGGGCTACTCCATCCCTCAGCAACAGCCCGTGGCTGTGGCGCGGCGGAACGAAAGAGAGAGGAACCGGGTCAAACAAGTCAACATGGGCTTCCAGACTCTGCGTCAGCACGTGCCAAACGGCGCTGCCAACAAGAAGATGAGCAAAGTGGAGACCCTGAGGTCTGCGGTGGAGTACATCAGGGCTTTGCAGCAACTCCTGGACGAACATGACGCTGTGTCTGCTGCTTTCCAATGCGGGTTGCCATCCCCTGCAATCTCCAACAGCTACTCCGCCGAACCTGAGTCGCCTCACTCCACCTACTCATCAGACGAAGGCAGCTATGAGCCTCTGAGCTCTGAGGAGCAGGAGCTGTTGGACTTTACGACCTGGTTCGACCGATACTGAGGCGGACAGCATCATGAACACAGCAGCGTCTGTGCGTAAAAGCGGCTGACTTATTTCAGAAATGCTGACAAAGACTTGGTAATGGCTTCAGATCAGTCTCGCCCTCAGTGCTTGGAAGTGATCTGTTGCCTCCCTCCCTCACCCGGGCTGATTCTGCAGGAGCAAAGCAATAGTAAGAAAGCGAGAGAGAAAGGGAGTGAAAGAGAGGGAGCCCTGAGCATGAACCGTCGAACCTGAAGTTCCCACAAGCAGGAGGGAGTTTGGACTTCACGTCAGCACGTGGAAGTAAAGAAATGTTGGTGTTATGTTTGAATAAGTGCAATTAATACGTGACACAGCATGCTCTGCTGAGACTTATGAGTGTTTCATCAGAGCAGACTGCCTTCCTCAGCTGCCACGTCTGTGGGAAGGCACAACAAAGATGACAGACTTTTCCAGGGATGAACATTGTTTCTTTCAAAAGTGTATCGTGCAACGTATTGTTTTAACATGAAGACATATTTTTGTACAACTGAGTCAAACACACAATGTTCTTGATCAACAGCCACTGACACTTTCTCTGACAGTGTTGTGCGAGCCGGCTGTCAGTGAGGCAGTGAGTTGGCATGTGTGAGTTGAGTGAATGGACAGCAATATCAAGGCTACTACCTGTGACAGTAGTTTTGTTTGTTTTTTATAAGAAGTGGTGAGGAGACCTTTATCAATGTATGCACTTGTTCTCCATTTCCTTTAGCCTAAAATGTAAATATTTGATTTGAACAGATATATTTTGTGTAAAACAAGTTTTATAAATAAATATGAATCTATTTATATGATATACTTTTGTATTGGTTTGGTTCTTCAGTTGATATTGCACACGTTTGTGCTCAGATGTGTGTGTGTGTGTGTGTGTGTGTGTGTGTGTGTGTGTGTGTGTGTGTGTGTGTGTGTGTGTGTGTGTGTGTGGGGGGGGGGGGGTAATTGAGCAAACCAGGGAGCTTCTCTTCTATTCGGAGCCCCTGTATGACCTTTTCCCGACTTGCATGGGCACACGGGGGGAAATTGCGCAGCTGAGTGAGCACTCAATAACCATTATAGACGTGCACCTTCTACAGCGCTTTGTCTGCATTCAGGACGGGGAGATTAATATTACGTTTCATGCATTGCATTGTTTCTTTTGCGTACTCTGCCCTTATCCAATAGCCCAGAGCGCATGGAGCGTAGTGAAAGAGGGAGGGGGGAGAGGGGCTGCAATTCACTCCTCTCAAAGGGTATAGACACTTTGAAATACGGCCCGGGGAAAGTCAGCGAGACAATAAGAGGGGTCAAAATTCTTATTGCCCGATTGAGATCAATCTAAATAAAACCTGGGGTTGTAGACTAGTTGTATCCCCAACTGTGTTTTTCATGGAGCACACAGCCCAAGCAAAAAGCCCGTCTCCTGCAAAATGGGGAGCACAACAGCACATTGTGAGCGCTATTGTGTGAGCCTTTGCGCCTCATTATGCCAATTATAGAAGATCTTCCATTGTAATTAAACACTGATGCCAAATTCAGCGAGGCAGAACGAAAAATAACGAGTTTAATTTCACCTGGTGCTCTCTGTGGGAGTGGAACATTGGGAACAAGAGAGGCCGATTAAACATGTGATTATTGCTATAGTATTTTTAAATTTATTCAAATACTGAAATAGGCAACATTATATCAGTCAACATAAATACAACAAACATAAATAATAAAGTGGTGGGACAGGACAGCAGAACTTCTGAAATCTTACACAAAAGTTATATTTATTTTTGTATCTGAAAGTGTGCCACAGTCATCACACACACACACACACACACACACACACACACACACACACACACACACACACACACGCACACGCACGCACGCACGCGTACGCACGTACGCACGCGCGCACGCACACACACACACACACACACACACACACACACACACACACACACACACACACACACACACACACACACACACTGCAGCCTGCAGGTGTGAGCCACGTGCCTTTACTCGGTGACAAAGGGGCTCGAGCGCTCCCATTGGTTAATGGCTCGCGTATGTGAGCCCTGTCGGTGAAAGCAGTGTCAAAATCCAACAAGTGATAAATGACATTAATTACGCTCTGCTTTATAACCCTCTACGTCACTCGGAGTCTCAAAGACACATCAATGCTGGCGAAAAATACCCCGCTGCTCCATTATAATAATTTTGAAAGTTCTGATGTCCTTCAGAGTCAGGCAGAGGCCAGGGCACAAAGTGAAATACGCACTTGTCTCTTGTCTTCTAAGATGGATTTGCAATTTTCTCCTCAGCCTTAGGGAGAGGGCGAAAATAGATGTATTCATGTCATCTTGTCCGTGGGTCATTTTCACTCTGACAATACATAAGGGCGATGTTAATTTTGGCGTAATCCAATGGTGAAATCAATCACATGCAGCTCATTTATGCATAGGTTTTCTTTCGCGAAGCCATGATGTATGCATAAACCATTGAAACGCCAAATGCACACAAACCCAGCATTTAGTATGGGCTAAACTGGCAAGAGTGGGGTGGTGAAGGGTCATCTGTTGCTCTGCATGCAGTCATAAGAGTGCTCATGGACTTTTAAGCCTTTCGTCTGAACAAGAGGCCGTCAATCATTTCAGTGTGTGCGTAAATTGCTAGTTGCTGAAATAATTATAGCGTTCAAACTTCGTTTCTTTCATGTTGTGACGCCCTCGGCAAAAAAAGGTTTAGCACTGTGTGTAGCCACGACATTAATAATTTCAGACGTAGACAATATTTACATGATAACAGTCTAACTGCCACTAATAACACAACTGTTTTCTTTCAGCATGTAGGGATCGTTCATTTGGAAATAAAGCATCAGAAATTAACAAAGAAATAAATAAAACTATATTGTTTGTTTGTTGTTCAACTGCACTAAAATGTGAGCTAGCAGATCAAATTATTTTTGAATATTATTTGTGTTGGTCCATCAATTGTACCAATTCCTACTTATTGAATTTTCACTTATAAAATGCCTCAATTTAAAGGCTCCACCTCTGAAACACCTTCATATTTAATATAATAATAGATTACTTTTCAACACCTCTGGGTATCACATTTACAGCTGGGGTGACTTGCACCAACAAAGGAGCTCAAGTGGTCAATCGTCCTAATGGTTGCTCTGGTGTTGACACATTGTTTTTTTGTTTGTTTTACCAGCAGTTCTACATCATGGTCTTTGCAAATAAGCCAAAAAAGGTTTTATGAGATTAATGAATTTCCAGAAGGACATTTGTTTGATTTGTTTGAAGTCACAAGAGCAGAACTCTTGATCATACGATCTGGAATGACTTTAACATAATATCAAAACACATGACTCATGGAAGGTCATTTAGGCGATTACAATATTTTTCTCGGCTGTGTTGATATTGAAGTAGATAACAATACTGAATCAGAATGGCTATAGAAAAGTTGCTGAAGTTACATTCAGAAACTGGAAGATGTGCCTGCTGGCCTCATCCTAAAGCCCAGAGCCACATTACATGTAGAGCAACAGGTGCATCAAGAACGGTATCATTTATCTCAACATGCATTACTTAACAACAACCAGACCTTGGTCTCTGATTATTTAAACATCACAATTATTACAAAACAAACGTTTTTTATTTGGCTTTGTGAGACAAAACACATTTCCACACAAATGAACTTGAATGCAAATTCCCCATACATTTATTTTTGCAGACAGATGTTAAAGTCCTGACTAACACTAAGAAAGTGGATCACATCACTCCTGTTCTGAAGTCTTTACACTGGCTTCCTGTCTGTCAAATAATGGATTTCAAAAATACTGCTGCTGGTTTATAAAGCTTTGAATGGTTTAGGCCCAAAAATACATTTCTGATCTACTGCTAAATTATGAACCATCCAGATCTCTCAGGTCTTCTGAGACTGGTAAGCTTTCTGTCCCCTGAGTCAGAACTAAACATGGAGAAGCAGCGTTCAGTTATTATGCTCCAAATATCTGGAACAAACTCCCAGAAACCTGCAGGTCCGCGGCAACTCTGACTACTTTTAAATCCAGGCTGAAGACTTTTATTTTTGCCGCTGCTTTTAATTGAACTATTCATATCTTAAACTGCACTGTAACTTTTATCCATGTATTTTTTCTTGTAATGTTTATTTTATTATCTTTGCTTTTTTAATGTTGACGATTTGTTTGAATGTGTTACAGTAGAAATTTGTATGGAAAAGTCTAAAAATGTTATTGTGAGTTGTATATACAGAGCTCCTGGAACCTGTAT